TTGATTTATATTTAAAGTAATCGCTGATAAGATTTGCTTCTGCCACATTTTCTGTTTTCTACACACTTATAATTTTTTGTTTTGTAATTCTTTTGACTTTCTTCTTTTGTAAATAATAGATTTTTTTCTAGTGTATGATTTTTAATTTCATTTTCATTTTTTTTTCCTGTGTGTTTCTTTCTTACTGGTTACCTGTGAATTGCAATCAGCATATTAACATAAAAATCAAGTTTGAATTAAGACTAATTTTATTTAATAACAAAAACTCTCCTTTACAGCTCTGCCCCTTTTATGGTTGTTATTGTCACAAATTGCATTACCTCACATTGTCCTTAACACATATGAATTATTGTTTAATGAGTTTGCTTTTAAATCACATAGAAAAAAGAGGAATTACAAATAAAATATGCAACAATATTTGGCTTTTATATTTATGTATATGCCTAAGACTATTATTCTTTTTTCCTTCATATGGATTTGAGTTACTATTTAGGGCCTTTCATTTCAGCCTTAAAGATTCTTCTTAGCATTTCTTCTAGGGCAGAGCTACTGGTAAGTTTTTCACCCAGTTTTCATTTCTGGGAATATCTCCTTCTTCTCCTTCTTCTCCTTCTTCTCCTTTTTTTTTTTAATGGTACTGGGCATTGAACCCAGGGGTGCTTAACCTCTAAGGCTCATCTCCAACCCTTTTTTATATTATATTTAGAGATAGAATCTCACTGAGTTGCTTAGGGCCTTCCTAAATTGCTGAGGCGGGCTTTGAACTTGTGATTCTCCTGCCTCAGCCCCACAAGCCTCTAGGATTACAGATATGTACCACCCCACCGGGCCTCTCCTTCATTTTTAAAAGATGACATTACTGGATATAGAATTCTTGATTGGCAGAACATTTTTTTTACTACTTTTTAAAAAAAATAATTTCAGTTGCAGATGGACATAATATCTTTATTTATTTATTTTTATGTGGTGCTGAGGATCAAACTCAGTGCCTCACACATGCTAGGCAAGTGATCTACCACTAAGCCACAATCCCAGCCCTTGAGTACTTGAAATATGTCATTCCTCTGCCTTCTGGCCTCCAGGGTTTCTGAAACGAAACCTGCTATTAATCTTATGGAGGCTCCTTTGTACGTAAAATAATCTTTCAGATTGATTTTAAGATTCTTTTCCTTTAGAAACTTTAGTTATAATGTGTCTTGGTATAGATATATTAGTTTATCATTCTTGAAATTTACTGGGCTTGTTCACCTGTGTAGAATCATGTTTTTCTTCAGATTTGGAAAGGTTTTGGCCATTATTTCCTCAATTATTCTTTCCACTGTTTTTTCTCTTTCCTTCCCTCTGAGATGCCCACAGGTGTAAGCCAAGGGTGCTCTCAGGCCTTTTCTGACATTTCACCCATACCTGAGCACTCATGTGAACGTCTTGATTTATCTATATACAGTGATGATTTGAAAAATCATGATTCCTCCACATACCTTCTTTCCCAACCTTGTCTTTCCCACACTTTTTCATTTTTCATTTTTTCTGACTGTTATTCCTTGCTCAGACTGCTGCCACCAATATATTTGCCTGTAAGTATTTTGGAAAGCACAGCTCAGCATATTCCCCAGCCCTGGGAACACTCTGAATCAGTTGAAACTAAGTATATTATGTATATGGCTAAGACTATTATTTACTTTATAATTTTATTTACTTTAACAGGCTTAGTAATGCTTTATACAACTCCTTTAGGTAACTTCCATACACAGGTCAAAACATACAACCACAAATTTTTGAGAATAAGGTCTATATCTCCCCCTGTGGCACTAGCAACCAGTAGTGCAGTGTCCTTATGGGCACCAGTGATCTGGGAAAAGAATGTGGCAACTGAGCAATTTAAAATGCCATAACATTCACTTTCCTTGATGCAGTGGTTTCTTTCTTCATTCAACTTTCCCTAGTTGTTCTAAGTATTTTGTTTATTAGTTTGCTGTATTCCATAGTTCTGTGAAAGTTCATTCTGCTAGTTTTAAATGTGTTTGTTTACCAATTTATTAGTTGCTGGAAGAATAGGGCCTTGGAGATTCCTACTCTGCCATTTTTGGTAACATCACTTCCAACTTTTTGAAATCATGAAGTTAAATATATAGGTAATGAATTTTCCTACTCTTTCCTTTTCTAATGTAAGGATTGGGAGACCATAGCATTTCTCAAGGATTGGTCAGTTTCAGCTTAGAAGTTCTGATATGTTATTTTCATTACCATATGGTTATTATATAGTCTCTAATTTCTATTATGATACATTTTTGACAAATTATTTAGAAGTGTTTTTTTTTTTTTTTTTAATTTACAAAAGTAGTAGGCTTAGCCTGGCACGGTGCACAACTGTGATCCCAGCTGCTTGAGAGGCTGAGTCAGAAGGATCACAATTCACAGCCCACCTCAGCAACTTAATGAGGCCCTAAGCAACTTAATAAGACCCTGTCTCAAAATAAAATATAAAAAGGACTAGGGATGTGGTTCAGTGGTTAAGCACCTCTGGGTTCAATCCCTATTACAAAAACAAAAGTGCTAGGCTCATTTAGTTATATTTTTGGTTATTTTTTCCTGCTTGATTGTCTTTTTTAGATTTTCTTAAATTGGATGAAACTTGACGTATCATCTATTTCATATGTCCTTACAATGATGTGCTCTTAAGATTTGAGAAACATTATTTTGTATATTTATATTAAGTTTATTTATTGTGTAGGTCAATTCTCCTCTAATTTTACTGATGATTTTTAATCTACTTGATCTATAAATAAAAGATGTTGCTAAGATCTGCAGTTATGGTGTTGGATTTGTGAACTTCTCCCTGTAGTTCTATCAATTTTTTATTTTATTTACTTTAACTGGCTTAGAATTGCTGCATCTTCCCAGTAAAATGCACTTTTAATCAATATAGAGTAACACTCTTTATCTCTGGTAATGCTTTTCACTTTAAAGATTTTATCTTGTATTGATATAGCTACAGAATCTTTCTTTTAGTTAAAGTTGAAAAATAAATTTCAGATAAATATTAACATTTTATACCTATATTTTAGGTGCTTTGTTTTTCTTCTTTCCTAAAAGTAAGTTTCTATATGCCTAGCCTTGTGTCCAGTTGTCCACCTGCTACAAGGGTGATAGTAGGCCTAAGGATAGAAGGTTCAGGAAGAGCAGAGAATAAGGGAAGGGGTCCCAATGCTTGGTAACCTTACTGGCACTGGCCAAGATTCAATAATTGTTCACTGAACTGTCAAAGTGAATTTTAATGTCCAGGCCTTCTTCCTAGAATTAACCTCAGACCCCAATGAGGTCTCTACATCTCCTTTGTATTTGAAACTAAAGGTGTCCCATTGGAAAGCCCAATCCCCAGGACCTGCTGCTCATGATGAATACACAATACAATCCAAAATAGCATCCATTAGCTCTTCAAAATCATTTTCTCAGCCTAAAGTTGAAATATTGTCTGAAAAATCATACTAGATATTAAAACCAGAACTTTGTCAGGTTTATTGAATCTGAGTATTGCTGTCATTCATTGTTATAAGGCTGAGGTCGTGGCTCAGTGTTAGAGCACTTGCCCGGCATGTGTGAGACACAGGGTTGATTCTTAGCACAGCATATAAATAAAGATCCATTGACAACTAAAAAAATATTTAAAAAAAAATAACATTCATAGTCATTACCTCCAGGCTTCTTTCCCTTTCTCTTTATTATCTCCTTCTAGATTTCCAGTGAGATTCTTTTTGGACTTTCTCATTTTATTCATCACATCTTCTTAACTTCTGTGATCTACCTCTTTGTCTCTATTGCTTCTGGGTAATTCTTTTCTGACCAATCTTCAACTTTATTAATTTTCCTTTTGTCTGTTTCCGATCCTCTAATTAGCATTTTCACTGAGATTCTGGATTTAATTACTACATAAATTTTCATTTTTCAAAATTATGTTTTGACCTTGTTTAAGTATAGCTGGTCAATTAGAGACTCTTTTTAATCTCATCCAAGTTATAATCCCCTGTTTTATTTCTTTTCATATATTTTAAATAGTATGTGATATTGTTTATCTGGTATTTTCAATGTATCAAATCTTTGTGCATCTGATTACTGTGTGTATAAAGATGTTCATGTTTGTTCAGAGGAATCTTTCAAAGAAACAGTATATTTATAAGAAATTGAAAATAAACAAGACAAATAAAGCTCTTTGTATTACTATAAAAATAGTTTTGACCTGATAGAGGGTCTTAGTGACCCTCAGCCATTCTCCAACTACATTTTGAGAATCACTTCTTTACCATCCACTGATGCAATAAATTTTTTCTCCCCTGTGCATCTAGAATTGCACTACCTAGGTGCCAATCTTGGAAAAATTGAGAAAATGAAAGCTCCAATCATTTTCCATGGGGCTTAATTTTCTCAAAAATTCGGATTGAGAAAGACTGCAAGTAATTTTTAAAATCTAATATAGCTATATAATATAATTGCTTCTTAACCAATATGCTTCTCTCCGCCCTGGCCCCTTCTACTCAGCATTTCTATCACTATGCAATTCTTCATTTGGACATCTGCATCATGAGGCTTTTACTGCCACAATACACATTAATTAAGGGAACCGTAAAAAACCAAATAGTCTACTTCTCAGTTTCTGGATTTCAAATGATTTGGAAGAAAAGATGAGAAGTCATACTATCTGAGTGGGGGGGGGTGTATAGGGAGGGGCATCAGGCAGGAGATGAGCTTACTCATGAGAGTATAGGAGAGAAAGAGATCTTGAGTCCAACATTGCCCCAGGGAAGACACTGAGGGGGTTCTGGGTGATGGAATAGAAACTAAGGGTCGGAGAATTCAAGAGCCAAGGGGCCTTTTCATCCAGATGGCTCTGAATGAAAAGAAAAAATTTACTGCTCATCCCAAAGCCAGAACAGAGATCAAGAAGGCAGTGCCCAGAGGTATCCACAGCCACCCACACACAAAAAAGAAGACCCTACATCACCTACCTTCTGGCAGCCTGTGACACTGTGGCTCCAGAGACAGCCCGGTGTTCTCAGAAGAGCACCCCCAGGAGAATAAACTTGTCCATGATGCCACAAAGTCTCCCACTGCCACACCCCCGCCGCCCCCCCAACACTGAGTCTGCCAAAAAGAAGACAAAAGGCAACCACGCCTCATGGCCAACAGGCACCAGACCAAACAGGCTGTTGAGAGGTCCTGATGTGGTCAAGGTCAACGCCCAGCTCAGTCCTGATACGAAGAAGGCGGAGTAGATTTGACTGGCTCCTGATTATAACACTGCAGATGTTGCCAACAAATTGGGAACATCTAGACTAAGTCTAGCTACCTAATTCTAAGTATACTTTGTTGTTGCTGTTGTTATTTAAAAAGAGCAAAAGGACCCTTAAAGACCCTCTGCCCATTTTCTCAGGGGACAGTCCAGGAAACAGGTGAGGTACTGGGTGCTTTCTCCACCTAGCATGAAAACTGAGATGATTGTGTGAGTGTATAAGAGCCAGAAAGCCACACAAGGGTATCTTCAAACTTCAGCCTGGGGCAGGATCACAGGAATTTAGTCTGATTAGAAAGCCCAGAAGAGGCCTTACAGGTGGAAAGAGGTTGATCTGCCAACAAGGAAAGGTAACATGGACTAGGAGACATCTCAGTGGATGTCCATGGTAAGGGTTGGTAGCAAAGATGAGATGCACATAGGCATACACGACTTGAATCTGGGTGAGCTTTCTGGAGGTTAAAGACTACAAAGATGGGGAAAATAATTGCAATTAAGGTTTTGAGTAGAAGTTCATGCTAGTAATTAAGTTTTAGAAAATGAAGAACATTCTTTTTCTTGTACAAGTACAATAATGTCATGAATGCTTTGATTCCAGGATCACTGAGCGGGGGTGACAGGTGCAAAGAGGACAAGAAGGAGATGGAGGGAAGGAATCTGGGTGCTATTGAAGTGCCACCTTCTTTCTCTCAGGACCACATCACACAAGAGGCCCTTAGTGGCTCCCAACATGTTTACTGCCTGGTTTTGCACAGCAAGGCTCTCAGCCAGGGAATATAATTGATGTGCATAGAGCTAAAGCCCTTGCCAGCTCATGGAGGAAGGGCCTCTAATTCTGGGAGAAAGGAACTGGGCCTCTGCCAGCCGTGTACCTTCTATGCTTTCATATAGACATCAGTAAGACCCTGATTTTGGTCTGACAAACCAGGAAAAATAAAACTGTCAGAATCAAGGCACGCTCTTTACTGGGACAGTTAGCCTGGTAATGGAGAGGAATTTTATTGCTCTTGGCATTTGCATAATATCTATTGATCAAGCCTCCTCCAAGCTGCTATTCTTCATATCAGCTTCTGGCAGAGAGGGAGGACTGTTTCAGGCCTCACTATTACAGCTTCTTCATGCTTAGATGTGGCTATAGTCCCCAACATAGCCTGAGAATGGAGCAGGAAATCCCCAGGGTAAAATATAAGATGGTCTCAGGCAGAGCAAGAACATGAGACTGAGATTTGGGGAAACTGCATTTTATTCTCGCCTTGCTGTGTGACCTTGGGAAAACTGCCAGTCCACTCCGCTCCTTTCAGTATTCCACACTGCCTGAATCCCTGCATTACTGTCATTCTGGGGCCAAAGGTGCTGCTACCCCCATTAAAATGAAAATGCAGTTGGGAGAATAACTGACCTTAGTCACTAGCTCTGGAGAATCAGTTCATCAGTTAGATTTGCTTACACCTGAGAACTCCTTCTATTCAGGTGAGTAGTAATGGGAAAGCCAGTGAAGGCAGCGTTGATGGAGTAGAGGGAAGCTCCTTTTTGGGAGAGCTGTGCATGACACACAGGAGGAGCCAAATTCATTTCAGAATCCCTGACTTATAGATCTGGGAAGCACGGTAGAGGTCATCACATCCACCCTGCCCCAGTGCTGAATCCCTGAGAAATACACTGAGCATCTTTGCTTGGTAATCACCTGCTCGTATAGCAAGCTTCTTGGAAGCAGCCCCATATTAGTCTGAAGTCTAACACTTCACCCAAGTCACAGAAATTAAGAGTATGCATGGTAGACATCCTGCCCCCATATCTTCTCTTCTCCCAGATAGATAATTCCTGGTCCTTTCTCTGTAAGGTGTGTGACCCATATACAGCTTAGTTTCCTTGTGGCCAGTCTCAGCCGGAGGAGGTTGTGGTCCAAAGAAGCCCCCAACTTCAGTCTAATTCCTGGTGTTGAGAAAATGACACACAGGAAAAAATCTTTTGTCTTCAAAATCTTTTCTGCTTATCCATCTATCTCAGCTTCCTCAGCTTCTCAGAATCTCTTCATTTCCTATCTCCTAGATGGTCTCTTTCCAAAAATCTTTCTAATATTCCCAAGGTAAACAGAAGGGGGTAGAAAGAAAACTGGGAAGATAAACAAAAGAAAGCTTCCATTATTGAGAGCCTATTATGTCCCCAAAACTTATGACATTTAATCTTGATAAAGAAAATATACTTAACTCAATTTTGTAAGGTAGCAATAAAGATCCAAGGAGTAAGTTGTCCAAGGTCACAGAGCAATTAAGTTGCAAACAGTGGATTCACACAATGATTATATCATAGGCCAGGCCAAATTACACTCAAAATAATTCACATCCCCCTGAGAGACAAGCCCTGGTGACCCAGTATTAGGGTGTTGAACAGGATAGAAACCAGAGGAGACCAGTGGCTAACCACATCTTGGCCCTGACTGAATTAACTGCTACAATTAAAGTTCAGTTTCACATCCTTAGAAGGATGCCTTTATATTCCAAGTCTGGTGGTACAGTATAACACTGGGAATCTGTTGAACATTTAAAATTCAGGCTTTCAATTAAATCTTTAAGAAACTTTCTGTGTTTCTTCCTCAATCTTTATTTCTGACTCATCTGAGTGCTCAGAAATTGATTAGATGTTTGGGGCAGAGGGAAAGCCTAAGTTAGGCATCTTATCCATGACTCTCTCAGTCTGATCTTAAAAGTTGGCAAATTCAATTCCACCTCAACAGTTAAGTCAGTGACGATCATGGTCCGTAATGCGAGGCCTTTGCCCATGCTGCTTTACGCATCTCTACCTGGATGCTCTTCTTTCACTTCACGTCTGGAAAAAGTCACAAAGCACCAGGGGCACTCCATAAAACCTGCCTGGTCCCACTGGGTCCCTTCCCTAACAGATTTATTCAGTCATCCCTACCAAAGACAGATATCACATAACCCTACATTTAACTATTTCACATGCCGCCTTTTGAGACTGGAACATGAGCAAGCTGAAGATAGGAATGGAGTTTTCTTCCTTATATTCCCAGCACGTAGCATACTGTCTAACTCCAAGTAACCGGCAAGCAATAGCGATTGCCTGATAAGTGTTCATGGAAAAGCTAATTGAGAAAGTCACCAATGAGAAAGATAAGGAGGAATTAAAGGACAACATAAGGATATAATCAGGTGTTCCACACTGGGCTTGGTCTCAAATATCCCATCCTATTGTCAAAGGAGTCACAGTTTCAAGTTGAGAAAAAATGGTTTCATAAGGGAAATGAACATTATTTTGAATCATAAACCCATGTGAGAGCTCATTAATACAGAGGGCTTTGGATTGGGGACCAGGCTGCTAAAGGGATACCTGGAGTTTAAACCCAAAGATTGCATGGGGTGATTTCATCTGGGTCCAAAGCCAATGCTAAGCAGCAGCCTTGGACATTTTGAAGGCTCTAAACTCATTTTGACAGCTGCTCAGAATCTCTTCATTTCCTATCTCCTAGATGTTCTCTTTCCAAAAATCTTTCTAAAATTTCTGAGGTAAACAGAAGTGGATAGAAAGAAAACTGGGAAGATAAGCAAAAGAAAGCTTCCATTATTGGGAGCCTATTATGGGTACCTTTCTCATTTTTAGTTTTTAGTATTTTATGGAGTTCAGAAATCTAATCCTGTGCATACACTACAAGTATCCGTAGATGGATGTTCACAAATGGAATGTGCCAGCTGTCCCCAACCTCTTGCCACCCACCTCCAGTCACACCCCTCACCCACACCAAGAGCAAACTCTGAGGCCCAGACCAACTTCACTCATTCTGTACTTTAACAGAGGAGAAACAATCTCATGGCATGTGTGCTTTTCTTATCTGGCTTCTTTTACTCAGTACTATGCTCACGAGATTCTTCCACATTATTGCATATGGTTATAGGCTATTTATTCTTCCTATTGAACTGTGTTCCATTGTGTAAATATACCACAATTGATTTTTCCATTCTACTAGCAATGGGTATTTGGATCATTTTCAATTCAGGGTTATTATAAACAGTGCTGCCTTGAACACACTGAGCACATTCCAGGACACACTGCTCTGTGAGATGCTTGCTTTCATAATTTGTGCTACCTGACTTTTGTATGATGGGCATGAATTCCTTTTTACAAAATTTAAAAATATCATCCATAACTTTTCAACTATGATCAGAGACTTTGCTCCTTCCCTGCTGGCCATTAGGCAGAAACAAACAGTTCAGTATTAACTAATATTTACTGAATGTTCACTGAGTTAACTCTTTATAGGAAGAAAAAAATCTTTTAATATGTTTCCATTTAATCCTCCAAATGACCCAGAGCTACTGGTATACACATTACTCCCCTTTCAGACGTATGGGAATTGAAACTGAGGAAGCTTCAATAACTTGCATAAAGTCATGCAGCTCACAGATGGACAGCCACAGTACAAATGCAGGTCCTGGACTCTGGGGTTTGTGTGTTCAACCTCCAGCCAGGCAGCCTTCTGTTTGAGAAGGCTGGGAGTTCCAGGAGCCTGTCAGACATGGGAAGGAGGAGCTGAAATCACAGTAGATCAGCCCAGCCCAACACCAGGGACTGTCCCTGCTCCCCCCCACACACACCCATGCCCTAATTAATCAAATCCTCTTGAACATGAAAGAGTGAGATTGGATTTTTGATAAAATGAATGGAAGGACTCCGTTCCCATCTGGCACCCACAAAACTCTCCTATTCAAGCCAGCAGGGAGCATTTCATTGCAACCTGCGCAGCAATTTAATAATTGCCCAAGAATGCTGGAAGATTTGGCAATATCACAACCCATCTGGATCC